TGCATTGGTTTCACGTAAAAAATTTACAAACTGTCGTAGAAAGTTTACAATTAACTGAATTGTCCAACATGGTTCCCAACCTCTTTCCGATAATTAGCACTACAAACGACAGATTTAACTTCTATAATACATAGAAACCGGCGCTTCTGTAGGCTGCGCAACCGTTTTTCGCTGACGAGCAATCTGACAGCTTTGATACCCATTCTAATCAGACTTGAGTGGGGTAGAACCGATGTGGGTGAAAATTATATTCTCTATCAAAATTGACTGCTATATTTGGTTCTGACACTTTCTTTTTACAGACGCTACGATAGCAGCAGGAACCATAAACACGTTAAATACAATTACACTTACTTCGACAAGTTTATTGATCTGGCGGATGAAATACTCCCCGTATCGCCGAGCGACTTTCGTATCAGCTATGTGGATCATATCCTAAATTCAAATAGCAGATTAAAAACGTTTTGCAAACGAGCTAAGGAAATGAAAGTACTGTTGTCAAGCTAAAGTTGCTTAAAGTTTGGTAATCTGCTAGGTTCAATTCAGTGTAAAAGGCAGTTAATTGTTCTTGATTTTGTGGTCGGCTACTGATGTAGTACAGATCGAGCAAAAAAACCAGTCTGCTGAACAGTGCTGGTAATGCAATAAATAAATCTTGTATATGCCTCTCACGCTCCTTAAATATCTTGTGCTGCTGTGGTTGCTAACGAAGATAGCCTATCCTCAAAGCGACGCCAATGCATATTTTTAAGGTGCGATCATTTTTTCGCCTGCGTTCTTATCTCGTAGTTAACTCATTTTCGTATTTGTGCCAAAATCGCATGATTGGTGGCCAATAGACGCTACAGAGTGAATCAGTCATTGCTAGGTTCACTTGTCATCTGTCGATCAAATGCTATGTCCTGCCAATCGTATTCTTTTTGCTAATTGACACAGTGTTCGTAATTCCTTGATTTCACAGCCCACGCTTGATCAAAATTCTAAGCGTCAATCTGTTCACATAACCCGCTGCAACCTTTTTGTTCAACGACAATTTTCGTGTTTTGCTTATCGAATCAGCAATGATAAGCCGTCGATAAACTGAAGATGAGTTAGCTGGTTGCTACTGAGTAGAAGCGCCCATTCTGTTTTACAGAATGACTCAAGGCATGGTCAACAGCCTGGGCGATAGAGCTTCTTGATAATCAACCTTGGAAACTCTTCTGCGATTAGATCGTCGAAAAATTAAATCTTCATGCATGCATGAACATACTTCTTTAGCGTGTTACCGCAACAATTTTTATTTTACTCGCTCTTCCAAGATCTGCAAAACTGCATTACTTTATGCAATGAGAAATCTAAAGGGTTTTACAGATGGGCAAACCATACTCGCCACTTTTCGAGAAGTTGATTTGTACATGGATACGTTGATGATATCGAAATATTTTGATCGAAATTGGCTCTCACAAATGGCTAGTACTTGATGGATTGCTCATTCAAGCGATTTATAGAAGTTTTGTACAAGGCTTTTACATAATTCCATGACTGTAGTTTCCAAAAACATTTTCGATCGCATTTTGGTACAAGAGGAAAATTTCTGCAAGGTCTGAACTAGTTAGAGATATGCTGTGTCTAAATTTCCATGACCAGACAACTTTTCAACCTCAGTTTAAAATAATTCTGATCCCGTCGTTTTCTCAAAGTAACATTTCAGCTGATGTTCCTCAAAGTAACATTTCAGCTGATGAGACCAAGCCCACCACAAACCATTTTCAAGCAGGAAGGAAAAACGCAGCAATAATCATAAACTGCACAAGTCAAATGTTTTTGAAATTTCTGAACATCTGTTTCATGAAGTTCATGTCGCATGAGTATGAAAGTTACTACCTAACTGAAGAAGTTCTATGCTACGCCGCAAAAGTTGCAACTGCAGTTTTTGAATAATAGTATGTCTAATGAATCGAGAAGAAGCAAATCTGTCAAAACACATGTTGAATAAATTCACAGATTCATGACTCTGACTAAAGCTGGAACGTGAACATTTCTGGCCAGCTTCTAAATTTTTAGAACAATCAATCACTCAGTTAATAAAAAGAAATGATCAATTACGACTTGAAGAAATTGCCTCAATCAGCAAATATTACCTGATCAATGAAGAAATCAAGGTCGACAATTACTTCATCTTCAGCGGTTACTCCGAATTTAGTTTCATTGTACATCTTATGCTAAAAGATAAATTGAAACCATGGCGTTGTGCAACACGAGCCAATTCACCTTGAACGATAGTAGATAACAAATCAACTCGGATTCCGGAATTTCCATAAATGAAGCCAGCTTTGACAGAGGCATAGTTCGGTAAAGCTTCAGATATCTAATATCACCAAAAATAAGCTATACGAAACCAACGTTTTTACATTAATTCGAAAAGGTTAGATATTAACAGGGAACCTAAAATCTGGTCTAGTGCAGCAGAAATTTAAGAATGTGACGACAGTGCATTCAAGCAAGCAAAACAAACGTTGATACTTAGACAGGCTACTTTTATTCCAAACTTCGGTTGACTCCGAAACTGTTACTGCGTACCTCCGACTCGTGAGCATCTATGAATCGAAAGAGTTTAATGAAGTCTGACTAACCCACAGTTCGCGTCATCCAAAAGCGAAGCTGTCTAATTTTTGACCCTCTCTGTGCAAAGATAGGGGTATGAAATTTGGATCACCAAGGAGGCAGGAGGCATCATATGAAAAGTTTCAAAATATGTTGCTACGAAGACAGCTGTAGCTGCTGTCACCTAAGGTCAATAAAATATGGAGAGTAACACAGCATATCAACTAGTGCTGTAATTTATTAGAAATAGATTACTGCACATATACTAGGCATTGTTCTTTGCTGGGACAAGGCATTCGTTCACAACCAGCAGTGCCTCAGCGATATGTTTGTTGCCTGTGATTCTTGCTCCTAACTATCTGAGGGTGGGGAAAACTGCCAATGCAGGTCTGACATTTTCATCTTCTTCATCTTTATATTCCTTGACCGCTTCTCCTTTCGGGTCGCGGAGTCTGACACGTTTTCATATTTATAAATTCATTTAACTGTAGCACCTTTCTAAACAAATGTCATAAAAAAGCAATCTTCCTAGGAATCCGACTATAAATCAATGCATACGGACATTTATTAAAATAAAATTGAAAAGGGAAAAATTTATTTACATGTAACAGAAAAACGGATCATAAATTACAAACGAATACCTATATCCGCTGAAACCTTTCTTTGATATACACATCAATTACTTTTAAAGAGACTTCCATAACTTCTTGTGAAAATTTTGGGTAACCGGATCAAAACTACAATTTTGACTTTTGAAATTGCTGTGAACCTCGAAAATAACGGGCAGATATAATGACAACTAGATACATAGACCCATTCTTCAGGCACATCAATGACAGAGACCACGGGTATTTCGGTGATATTTTGAGAAAGAACACATTTCATAATATCTTTGGAGAGAACAATAATACATTTAACCTAGCGACGCTGTGACAAAGACCAAGTTCACACTAAACGGAAGGCTTGAACAACATTCACGCCAGTGTTATAAAGGAATGAAGAAAGGATACGAAAAAGCTGCACTATCCTGGCGACCCCACCTACAAAAGACGACAATGTATGGAGTAAAATATTACACAAGACAGTGAAATGAGTACAATATCCATAATTAACAAAATCAGTGGGGGAGGGATAAAGGTGCAGTAAAAATAAGTTCAGCCGTAAATATTACAGGGTACTGTCTGGAAGTCTAGAGTAGCTACAACTGTTCCAGACAGTTAAATGGAAAACAAGTAAGTAGTCCTTCATTTCTCTCATAGACAGTGAAGAGAAGCGGATTGGAAAGCGATGATTTGTGAACAACTGAAGGTGTATGCTCTTTCGTTTGTTGTCAGAGTGTCCAGCCCTGATAATGCCGCTGTGAGTGAAATGCGTTGGCATGAAACTGCTTACCATCTTTTGTATTTGGTGCCTCGAAACATGTATTATTCAAACAACTATGTATATAACTATGGACCCAGAATCAAAAACCTGAAGAATCAAACAGAGTCTATTTTATGTCTCACCCTCTGACGTTAGGTATAAACGCTTGTTCCGCTATTTCTTCCATGAACACCTTCGTCTGCTGCATGGTAGGTTCCTGAAACAAAGAACAATGACGAAGGAGAAAAACCGTAAGTAATCGTATAGCCATTTACCTTAGCAAAATTAATGCCGGTATCAAACGTATTCACCGTTGGGGACAGGAACTTCGGGCATCCAAACTGGAATGCGTTTTCGATCTCTTTCAAGTCCCTAAATCTCCATGGATATTAATACAACAGGTGATTACGCAGAAATAACAATGAACATTGTCTTCTCTAAATCTGAATCAATATGTGATGTTGTTTACTTAGAAGACTTTCAAGTCATGATTATCTGTATAACATGAGGAATTTTTTTCTATTCTAATTCATCACCGGGCATCTCGCGGTCTACCACTAGTCTGAAAAACAGTAGCCATCCGGTGTTCAAAAGTGCAGTACGCAATAAAACAACTACCATTGTATTCGATTGGAAGAATAGCAGCTTGAAATCCTTTTACAGATCAGAAGAATTGTCATCCATTATCGACGGGTCCTCATTATGGGTGAACCATCAAAGCAAATCAACAATATTTCTAAATTCTTTATTTTCCGCTTTCTGTCTGAACAGCTCACCAATGAATTTTACCATTGGATCGTTAGTGATGTAGAGGAACCCAGGTTCTAATTCTTAACATTTACTAGCTGTCTTTCAGATGAGACAAATAATAGGTAAATCTTCTATTGGCATCACAGAAGGCAAAAATTACGTCAGTTAGTTCATTCCACTGTTCAATTTGTGTGCTCAGAAGGTTTACTCGCAGAGAGTCTTTTCATGTTCTATCGCCGTTTGCTTGACCATTAAGTCTGTTCTTCTCGGCGTTTGTGGCAGACCAACATTCTGTGCCACAGATGATGGCGGAGAACGATTCATTCAACCAGTTCTTCCTTCGCCCGGAATGAGCACCAGCTCACTGTCCAGTAATGATGTTTTAAGACGATTATTGTTGGTTAATGTCGCCTTCCTTCCCCTGCTGATATCTCTGTCTAGAGAGTTCATGCGGTTGACCTAACGACCAAGGTATGTATTTCTGGCACTACTTCGAGTTCGACGCGATTCACTTACACAGAGCCCTCAAGGCAGTGTCACTTTCGCATCCATTTCGTCTTGAAGAGATTAATATTCAAACAGACTGTGAGAGATTCTTCCAAGCAACTGTTCGTTCTTCTGCTGCAAATCTATCGTGTCTTGTGTGAAGACGATGCAATCGTCCGCAAATAACAAGGGTGTCAACTGCGGTCCATCAATAATGATGCCTTCGTACAAGTTTAGCAGGTTGACAGAGTGACTTCAAGGCTGCAGTGAAGAACTCTAGTGAGACGATATCTCCTTCGAGCACTCCTAGACATAAAGTGGCTCGCTGAACAGCCAGACGTCAGTAGTGCAACCGGAGTTCAGTTCCTTGAAAAGTTGATGTAGACAAGGTTTAACGCACTGTTCACTGAAAGTGTTTAGCGTAGCCACAAATTAAACCGAACCGAGCATGTTGTAATCGATGAAAGCAAAACAGAGCTGCATTTCATATTCGTTCTACTTCTCCGCCACTTGCTGGATCACATGCATATAATCAGTGGTACAAAACTGGCTTGTTCAAGACTTATGACTAGTCAGAGGTCTTTCTGAAAGCGATTGAAAATGATACACGTGAAGACTTCGTAGATTTGCGACAGAAGTGCAATTGGTCAAGAATTTCGGCTCTTCAAAGTTACGCTTTTACGCGAAAAAAATATTCACGGTATCTTCCACATTCCGCACTTCCTTTAATGACGTTTTCCGTAAAATTTGACAAGCTCTATAAATAGGAATGGTTTTCCGGCTTTAAGGTGTTCTGGTATCATATCGTCTTCACCTGGACGTTTGCTATATTTCATGTTTGTGACTGCTGATTTAATTTAGTTCCAACAGCTTCAAAAACGGCTTTTGTGACAACACGCGATTTGCGGTTACTTTGGAAGAGTACATGCTGCTGTAGAACTATGCGCATATCGCATTCATTCCACTGCAATAAGCACTTCGTGCTTCTCTTTTCAGGACCCTCGGAATCCTCTGTTTTAGGCGAATGACTCGTTCCACCGTATCATTTACTCTTTAGACAGTCATAATCGAATTCCCCTACGATTTTCGTAGTCTTCTCTAAACTTCATCCGCATCTCCTTACACAATGTATACGTTATATATTTTGCCTTCGGCCTTCAGTTGGGTTCTTCAGGCCATCAGCTGCTTTGTTGAAAGATTGACATGTTAGTCTCTCGCTCACTTTGGTGTTCGGCTTGACGTTCTAACAGTCTTGATGACATTGAGAAAATAATCATAATCTGTTCATAATCATATTCCCTCGCTAATGTTAATTTGAAAGTCCATTAATGGTAGTTTCTTCAAGAAAGCCTTCGGATATCATCGCAGTTGTCCAGGCGGTAATCTCTGGGCTATTTCAATCACTTAGTCTTTGCCGAAAATGGTAGCCGCGGAACGCAAAATCGTGTAGTCTGATATTGTAAAGATGACGTTGTGCGCATGACCGAGATATCATATTATTAACTTCTTGCCTATCAGCACGTGATAGATTTGGTTCAACGCCTTTCCGTCTGGACTTCTCTATGCACACCGTCGCTTTAAAGTTTTCTGGAAAACGTTGTTCATGACGTAGTAGTGATCAGCAGAATTAACAAACAGAGGATATAGAAACTAAGTAAACGGCGAATTAAAAACCGAATAATCTTCAATTTAAATGGTGCTCCTCAGACCTTTAGAGAGATAGCAGACCAGAGTTGTTCAATCGGTCGAACGTGGGACTAAGAACCAAGAATCCCGGGTTGAAGCCACTTTCTTTTATTTCTTCGAAGATTCATGAGTACCAGTCACTGGGAAGGAAACAGAAGAATATACGCAATGCTCACCATAGAGCTGCTGTTGACTTTGCATTTAAAATAAGGCACTTCTGGCTGACAGCATGAAAATGGAGATCAGCGCCCAACCATCATGCAGAATGCGATTTCACAACTGTCACAAACTTTGCTTTTTCGTTACTTTACAGAATTAGGTAGCTCCGGAAAACAAGATAAAATACTATCTGAATTCAATATGAAATGGGAAGTTAAAAACCCAGCTTACCCTCTCTGCATGCGACTCATTTTATCGGACATCGTCTTGGCCAACTCAGACTGAACACTTTCGTCAATCCTCTGAGGACGTAGAGTCAAACAGATAGCCAACAGCTGATAAATCTGATCGTTCGTTTTCGTGATCTAAAGGAAGCGAGACTTCAAAAAACCATTTAGCATGCGTTACACTGTACGAAACGTACAAAAGCAGTGAAAAAGAATTTAGTTTAATAAAAGCTTAATAAATTCCGCTCGATACTCTGACGCAATTACATAGCAAGTATTTTGATTAAGATTTCAGCCAAATAAACAGAAATAGCTTGAAGAGATCTTACCTAGGGAGATCAGGAATTAGTAAATTAAGAATTAGGAATTATCACTGATAAAGTACGTGAACCACCACTAGTTAGGAGTTAGGAAATGGTTATCCACTTTGAGAGGTTGGTGAAAACTCTATGGCTGTCAGCATATATTACAAAGGATATTGTTCTACCTAACAAGACGTAAAACATAACCTATGTAATTTTCCACCTCAGTGGTAGCAGGGAGTGAGAGAATTTATGCTAACAGCCTCATTCTGGACAAAGAATATAGATAGCTTATCGGCCCATTTTATACGTCTAACCTAAAAGTTTTTTTACTAATCCTTAAGAACTCAGTACTTAAGGAATAGTACTTCGGAAAATATTTATAGTCATTATAAGGAAAGGAATGCTTTTCCAACTGTTGCGAGTGCCAGTGCCCCTTATATTTGGTTAAGCTTTTTTAGAATGGAACCACGGTACAACGCTAATGCATATTATACTGCATCAATCCTAAAGTGCTTGATACTTCTTTAATGACTATATTCAAAACTAGGTGGTGAGGATAGTGTGAAATTTCGTTTCTGACCGAGAAGTGGTGCCTATTTATGGTCAGTCTGGTGCCCTTTCGTCAGAGCTATCACTGTCTACGGCGACATCAGAACAGAGGAAATGTAACAGACTAAAAATGCTAGTTTATAGACTGGAGCAGGCAGGTGACCTGCCTTGAATTTTGTCTAGCCACTGACTGCATGCCTCTTTTTGGCTAATTCACATCGAATTAAAGTACCTCGAACTGCATTACAGATTTTTTATCCTTTCATCATCAGTTCTTCACCTTTCGCATAGAATTTTGGGTATTTATTCGGAACTCTCAAACAGCTGGTTTAACAGACGCGATCGATTGTACATAACCGTTCATTTTCTAGTCTATCGACTGTAAATACGTCTGTAATTCTTTTAAATCTCTTTGCTTGCTTCCCTCTATTTAAGATATTTTGGATTCTTTTGTCCTGATACGTGTCACAGAGCGATTACAAAAAAAAACAGTCTTAAAATGGCACTTAAAGAAAAAACAAAATAAGCAGCATCTCTAACAGTCATTAAAATGTTAGATTAAACCAAATCATAATCATACCACATCGTACTGCCAGGATCGCTGTTGCTGTTGCTGCTGCTGTACAGATCGTGTTCGCTGGATATAAAGCAAACAGTTGACGAAGAGACTGATTGCGTCTTGATAATGGCGCATCATCATGTGACAAAATCCAACATAGTAATGCAGCGTTACGAGGCAGGATGGGACGGTGTTATACAGTCCCTGAAACAGAGAAACAGTTATAAGGATCTGCAAAGGGGTCTCGCCGCTCTGAAGAAGTTGACGGAAAGAAAGATTGACATCATTTGAGAAAACGTTTTAAAATGAAAAACATACCGATTTAAGGGTAACGACAGGAAGTCAAGTTATGTCGAGAAAACGCAAGTTGGAAAATTATGCCCATATTCAACTAAGTCGCATGTCTGCTTAATAGTCATATTTTGAACCTTTTACATTAACTTTCTAATAAAGGCACATCTCCTATGAACCAAGTTTTGCCGGACATAGCACTGTTCTTATGCTACTAGATGCATAGGCAACTATAAAATAAGCCATGAATTTACGGTATTTGAGTACATGCAACGCACATATGCATCTGACATCAATTTTTGGCTAGGACAAAAACCTTGCTCACCACTCTCTTAGATGCCATGGATGAAGCAGTGGTGGGGTTACATGGTCTACGTATGCATGTAGAAGCAAAATGACGGTACCATTTATCGTGGAAAACGATTTGCAGTTAACCCAATTTATCAACATAATCTTAAGCACGATCCCATATTTGTAACCGCAGAAAATTTGCATTACATCATATGATCACACTAAGCAGGCTAATCGACAATCTTCACTGACGACAACAAAAACTGACTAATTCTTATTCGCGATTAACACGGATTATCACTGCCTGATCTGGATGCACAAATTCGGCTGTCTCGTGTCATTTCTCGCCACAAGCTTTGCTATCTTTTTTAGCTCATCGGCCCAACTGAGCTGAAGCCTTCCTGCTGGGCACTTGCAGCCTCCTGGATATCAATTCCTCATTGCCAATCATAATAACCAATTAAACTGCATTGCAGGGACGCTGTTAAGTTTCGACAATAAGTAAACTTGGGAGATAAACGGTTGATGGTGCGATCCTCAACATACCCACAATCAAAGGTTTGTCCAGAAAGTTTTGACCTCTTCTGGCAGTGGTACAAGTTGTATTCAAATGAAACAGTGCTACGACATATTATAATGATTGTGATGCAAAGGGAAAATATTATAATAATTAGGATAGATAATGGACACTATAAAATTTTAATCTAATGGCATCTGAATCACAAGATGATTTAAATGAAACAGTAAATAAATTTTAACCAAAATTTTTCGCGTCGTAGTTTAAGAATACACTTGGGAAAGGCAGTTGAAAGAATAGAACTGAAAATGGTTCGTAGCGCTTTTATCCTTTCCGTATGAAGTTCTCGTGAATACGATATGAACATAAGCAATAGCACATACCGTTGGATCGAACGAGATATTGCGAACTGTCTTCGCCGCTTCGTTGTAGTCGCCGAGCAGCGTGTGCAGCCGAAGCATTCCTATCAGACTGAAGTATCCCAGGTTAAAGTATAACGGGTGGCGACCGAAATCATCCGCCACTTCATCAGGATTTCCTGAAAACGAATTATTTGGACAGCTTCAATAAAAATGAATTCTTACTTCGTTCATTGATCGCTAAAAGCTGTTCCTGAATCTGAGACTTCTGCGCCAAAGCGTAAAGGATGTTCATTACGGGATACAAGTTCCACACCTAGACATATCGGTCAAGAACGCTGAGCGATCACGATTTTATCATTAAAAATGACAGAAGGTACGATAGCTACAGTAGCTTCGAATTCAGTGTTATAATGGATAGTCTAATATCAGCAGTCTGAGAAAGCTGG